GCCCGGGGTTCGCCCATCCTAGCTAATGCCAGCCTGGTGCCAGCGTCCTTCACGACGTTAGCAAGTCATGAACTTCTGTGCCCTCAGATTCACTGGCCACCAAGGCAGCTGTAACTTGCCGGCCCGATTCTGTCAGCTGCCCATCCTGGTAGGTCACAGCCCTGGGGCTAGGCACATAGGCCGATGGAAGCGGTGGACAGGGGCACGAAGAGCCGTGCAGCTTAGGTGTCAAGATCTGCACATTGTCTACACCGCATTTAAGACGAATAATTTTAGAGCGATGGGAGGAAAAAACCCCAACAATCCTAAGTCTCTACCAAAAAAAAAAAAGGAGTGATAGTTTACCATCACTCGTCTGTTGATGGAAAATTTCATTGGGACACCCCAGGTTGTCCTCATCTGGAGATCCACCTTGGGGGCAGGAAGGGGCATGTAGGATGAACGGCAGGAGGGCGCAGGTCCTTTGTCTTTGAACATAAGATGTGAGTGGGCAGTTACTGTCTTAAGTGGGCAGGCCTGGCTTTCTGCGGTTAGTAACACTGTTTTACCCCTTCTTTGCAGCTGGTCCTTCGGGGTGTTGATGTGGGAGATCTTCACTCTCGGGGGCTCACCCTACCCAGGGATTCCCGTGGAGGAACTTTTTAAGCTGCTTAAGGAAGGACACAGGATGGATAAGCCAGCCAACTGCACCAACGAACTGTAAGGGCCACTGTCTCTCCCGAACCGCGGTGGACCCGCCATGCCAATAGCACCCCTGACTTATTTCTGTTTCCTAAACGTGCTCTAAGAAGAAGAGCTGCCGAAGCTTTCTGGGCTCAACCCCAGGACTGAGATAGATAGCTGCACTGACAGCCCGTGCAAAAGAAAGAGCATCTTTGCGAGGTGTATGGAGGGAGCTTTAAATCAGAGAGGGCGAGACGGGGGCTCTTGCTGAGCCGCTGTGCTGTGCCTTGCTGTTGGCTCTCCTCAGACAGGAAGAGCCATCTGGCCCTCCCTCACATGCAGGCTAGAGAACCCCCGCAGGATGCGGGGTCCAGGTACCAACGTGACCTCTCCCCGCTGGCTGGGCAGCGAGTGGAGAGCGGGTGCTTTTGCAGTTCCCTGTGGCCACCGAAAACGCTAGTGTCGTTTGACATCGACCACATTTCTTCAGAGCGAATGAACTAGTGTCTGGTTACCTATATTTTGACTCACATTTTAGTGCAGAGAATTAAGAAATTTGTCCAGGTGCCATCTTTAGAGGACCAGAGCTGACTGAAAACAGTGAGCTGGTTTCTAGAAAATCCCACCCCACGCTGTAAGTGGAATTACGTTGCGGTTGTGTCTTGTGCAGTAAAATCAAAATCAGTGCTTTGAAAAGGGGTCTCTCCTCCCTCCCCCCAGGATTAACTAAGAAGAGGGATTGTCCTAGGGACTGCGGTCTATTGTGTATCGTTTCCTGGGGATTTTCTGTCTGTAATCTCGTGAGTGCTTTTTGGTGTACAGTGGACGTCTGATGAATGGCCACATTTTATAGCATATTATATAAAGGCATGTATTGTGGACCTTGCTATTCTTATTGCTTTCTTTCTAATATGGGAGGCCTGTCGAAACCCATCACCAAGATAAGGCCTGAGAACCCGGGCCTCTCCAGGCATTACTCAGGAAGTTCAAGTGTAGCCCAGTGACGGCAGATTAATTCTTAAGAACCTTACCTTAAAGTTGCGGTTTTCAAGCTTCATTTTTTTTTTAAACTGAGGAACTTTTGTGCACTCAAATCATTGAAAGAAACCCAAAGTATCAGGTATAGATATTAGAAATCCCTGTGACACTGAAAACATAGTTATGTCTTTTCTTGGTGGCATAGGTACCTTTCTCAGATGTGTCGGGTAGAGACGGTTTTGTACGTCCTTGTAGAGGAAAGAAGCAGTGGATGTTTTGGGAAAGTGAATAACCACCCTCTAATTTCGTTACTCGGGAAGTTCTGATACGTTTTCATAATTCTGGGCCTCCCTCTGTATTGCCTGTTAAAACCGGCTTGTAGCCATGCACCTCACACTTACAGCATCCATTCACCAGGAAACCCGTTGTCCCCAGGTACATGATGATGAGGGACTGCTGGCATGCAGTGCCCTCGCAGAGACCGACGTTCAAGCAGCTGGTGGAAGACTTGGATCGAGTCCTCACTCTCACAGCCAATGAGGTAAGGAGCCCCTTCCGGAAGCCCGCGCGTGGTCCTCGCTCAGGGACCGGCTTGACCGTGTGAGTGCAGCCCCCTCTGTCACAGTCTGTGTGGCGTAGCTTATCGTTTTTCCACAGGGGTCAGACAGAGTTAAGCTATGTGTTCCTCCCAAATCCTGATTTTTCTCAGAACTGCATTTTAAGAGTTCTGAATCACGAAACCAAAGACCAAGGGGCCCTATGTGAGGCTTCCCCTGTCTGTGGCTTTGGGGCGGTAGGTCCAGGGGCCGTGCGCGTAGGCGAGTGGGGAGGCCAAAGAAATGGCCAAGTGCAGCGTTTGGGTCTGCGTGGGAAGGCGCTTGGGGGTGCTTATGTGTCGATAGGACTCTGTGCCCTGGTAATTAGTGTGGCAGCTGCCGATGTCCCCTTACCGATGACCTCGGATGCAGTGAGGTCCGTTCCTTCCAGCTTTCCTATAACACATGGCCTGGTCCTCCGTGACCCTGTCTGGGAGTGGCGTGTGGCTCGTGGTCTCCATCTAAGGGCACGCAGATGTCCACAGTTTCCTATGACAAGTGACTTCCACAAAATTGTATCTTTTGTTAAAATATTTTCTATAAAATCGTGTATATTCTGTGCCAATGAAACAAGCACTCTTCCGTCACTCACTGTCCGAGTTCATCCATGTCAGCGGCCACCTCAGTGTGCAGATAGTGGACTCTGTGGCTGCAGAAAGACTGTGGTCTCGGCAGAGAACGAATTCGGGACATTCGCTGAGGATGCAGAGCAGTGTTCCTTCAGATGGGGAAAAACAAGCAGACCCACCGTTGTCTTAACAACAGTCTAAAATGTTTTAGAAAGAGAACAATACATTTAATTTATTTTTAAATAATACATTTAATAGTTTTAGAGTGATTTAAACAAAATAATCAAATGTTGTGATAGGAAGCCTTAAGCCAGCAACGTTATCTTCTGAGTCTGACTGTGGCTGATAAAGGGAGAGATTGCATTTAAATGAATACAGCTGACCTTCAGAAGTTGAAAGGAACAGTTCAAGGGGGGGAAAAAAACCCCAACTTTCTTCTCCTGCCAAAATTGTTGTTTCTAGTATAAGTTCCTTTAACCCTAGACTCGGAATCCACTGATATTCCCATTTTTCTCCCTATCAGATCTGAACATATATGGCCTCATTTAGAACCTGGGAAAGCACTGAAGTTCCATCTTAATGATCTTATCCCACGCTCAATACTATATATTTACATGTTTACATTTAAAGTGGGCCCATTCATACTTAAATTTACATCTAGCATCCTAAAATAAAAAAGCATAATGCCGTATTGTCTAACGGATATAAAAATGGAAGTTTCTTTCCTTCTGAAAATCATTCCCATATGCTCAAGGAAAATGGTTCCATTTAGGACAAAATTTCATTTTTATCATTGTAAGCAGAAAGTTCCCTTTTGATGTGGTGGGCGTGTTTGTTTCCAGTGGTGTGGTTAATGCTGAGGTTGGAACGACACATCCCCCATTCTCGGATGGGGACCCTGTCTCTCGCCAACCCTGGTGATGAATCGGAGTGGGTTTTTTGGTCTTTGGGAGTGGATGGTTGCCAGCATTCCGTGGGCCCTTTGCTGATAACGCAGGAGGCTGGCTGTGCTGTCGTCTGCACTTTCTGCCTCCTTCTTGCCAAAGCCACGTGTCATAGCGTAACAGGCTACGGGGGTGCGAGCAGAACCACCCCTGTGCACTCGCCTGGTTGAGGCAGTGGGACCCAGAAGCTCCCCAGTTTAGAAATCTTCTCCTAGTTTCGGAGTGGGGTCTGCAGACCTTCCCCGTAAAGGGCCAGGCAGTACTTATTTTCAGCTTTGTGGGCCACGTGGTCTCTGCCTGTGCCTCATATCGAGAAAGCACCCACAGACAGCACTAAATGAACGTGTCTGTGTCCTAGAGAGAACTCGACAGACCTTAACGTTTATGTTTTGTGTGAACTTCATGTCATTTTATATAGTTTTTAAAAAATGGCCACGAGGTATTCTTTTGATTCCCCCCCCCCGCCCCCCCAAGCATTTAAAAATGTTAAAAAACCAGTCTTAGCTCACAGGCCATCAGGCGCAGGCAAGGGCCTCTCACCCTGTCATAAGTCAGAGGAGGGGTTGTCCTGGGCAGCACCAGTGAATGCTGTCAGGAGCAGAGCCGTTTTTGAATTTCAGACCTTTGAAAATCGAAACATAACCTCCATTTTCCTCAACGTTCCTTTAACGTTCCATTATGGATTTAATATACATGAGCACATCCAAGGCTTCTGTGAACCTGTTTACATTTCCAACTCACAGAGCTTCTGAGAGTAATGAATCACATCTGCGAAATTACCCGCCAAATGAAGACATATTCCCCTCAAATTATCCTAGAAACTGCAATAGTCACATGTAATTCACAAAATAAATATTCATGGTCTCAACTATTCGAAGGGTCTTCAGGAATCTGCAGCTCATGCTTTTTCATTGTGCCGGGGCCTGAATTTGAACCCTGTGCTCTAGCAAGGCAGTGGATGGCAAGCAGGTCATTTGGGTCTGCAAATCAGCGTGACCGCCAGCAGTCCAGCGAGGTTTTGATCCCTGTTGTCAGAGAAAAGTAAAGGGCAGCCCGGAGGAAATAGGATCGAGGTCTCGAGGAGGTCTTTGCGGGAGCCAGGGTGGGCCGGGTCTCCAAACCTCCAAGGGGTGCCCCCGTCCTGTCCCCACTCCCACAGCCACGTGTCACGGGCCTGCGTGGACAATAAAAGTCTTCTCTCCCTTCTTTCAGGAATACTTGGACCTCAGTCAGCCTCTCGAACCGTATTCACCTTGTTATCCTGACCCGAGATGAAATAAAACTTCTCTCCCCTTCTTTCAGGAATACTTGGACCTCAGTCAGCCTCTCGAACAGTACTCACCTAGTTTCCCTGACACAAGGAGCTCTTGTTCTTCGGGAGATGACTCTGTTTTCTCTCCGGACCCTATGCCTTACGAACCATGCCTTCCTCAGTATCCACACATAAACGGCAGTGTTAAAACATGAATGAGCATGCCTTCCCATCCCCAGACAGAGCAGCGCCAGACACTGCTCCACTGAGCAGGGCGGCCTTGTCTCTGCTTGTATATATGGATCAGAGGAGTAAATAATTGGAAAAGCAATCGGCACACTTGTAAAGAATTTATACAGTTGGAAACTTGTAATCTTCACCAGGAGAAGAGGAATGTTTCTGGGCAATGGACTTGCCATGGGCCACCACGCGCCCATGACCCGCTGTGGGTGCTGGCTGTGGAGCAGCCGGACTCAAGGCAGACGTGGCGTTTTGCCTTGCTTGTGAATTTTGTAATAATTGGAGAAAATATATGTCAGCGCACACTTACAGAGCACAATTGCAGTATAGGGGTGCTGGATGTATGTAAATATATTCAAATTATGTATAAATATATATTATATATTTACAAGGAATTATTTTTTGTATTGATTTTAAATGGATGTCCCAATGCACCTAGAAAATTGGTCTCTTTTTTTAAAAAAATAACTATTTGCTAAACGCTGTTCTTACACAGAATTTCTTAATTTTCACCGAGCAGGGGTGGAAAAATACTTTTGCTTTCAGGGAAAATGGTATAACATTAATTTATTAACGAATTGGTAATATACAAAACAATTAATCATTTATCTTTTTTTTTGTAATTTAAGTGGCATTTCTATGCAGGCAGTGCATCGGACTAGTTAATCTATTTCTTGGACTTAACTAGTTATCAGATCTTTTGAAAAGAGAAATATTTACAGAAAATGACTAATTTGGGGAAAATGAGGTTTTGATTTATTTGTGTTTAAACTCTGCTGTCAGATGATCGTTCTTAAACCACCTACATGCCCATGTTAAAAGAACCGGTTCATGAGAAGTGTTTTGATGTGCAGCTTTGTCACCTGAGCCCATGTAACTGGACTTCCCAAGACAGATGGGACCAGCGTTCGCTTAAAAAGATGCCTTAACCCGTTCCTCCAGGATGGACCTTCATTGGAATGACGGACTGTTCTCTCTGGCAGCTGGCCTTCTGCCCTGGACTTTCACATTAATCAGATTAGCCTGTATTCTCTCCAGTGAATCTCGATAATGGCTTCCAGGTTTATTGGCGTTAGAGAAGCCTTTTAGGATCTTGCCGTCTCATCATAGAGAATTGAAACACTGAATTGTTCTGCTGATAGTTTTGGGGTTACTTCCATCTTTTTAAGGGATTGTTTCCGTCTGATTCTGGCAGGACCTCACCAACAGATCCGGCCCGAGACCAGCGTCAGACAAAACGTTGCCGTGTTATTCATTCTGTATTAAAGTATTGTGTTTTGCTTTCGAAACACCTACTCACTTTGCCGTAGCCACGCAACGCGAATGCAGATTACACTGATTTTACGTGTTACCAAATTGGAGAAAGTATTTAATTAAAACCTGTTAATTTTTATACTGACAATAAAAATGTTTCTACAGATATTAATGTTAACAAGACAAAATAAATGTCACGCAGCTTATTTTTGTAATACTCGTGTCTCACCAAATGGTTTCCCATGCTCAGAGGTGTTGCTTCAGGGCTGTTTGGTGTGTTTGCAGGACGGGCAGGGCTGGGGAGGTCGTCGTTTGCTACAGACGGTGACTTGCCAGGGGGGTCGGCTGAGTCCGGAGTCTCAAGAATCGAGAGAGACGGCATTTTGCCTGTTAACGAATGCGAGTCTGTGGCTCCGCGTCGTGTCTGCTGCTGGCCGCCGCGCCGGGGGAGAGACGGAAACGGCCCGACGTCTCCCGAACGTCCTTGGTGCCCTCAGAACCTCGTGGGGCCATCAGCGATTGGAAAGTGCCATCTTTGGGGTCTGCGTTGTGTGTGAGGCTATAAGTAGTGGCGTGAAGGTGTCACTGGCCATCGGACAAGTCATCTGCGGTCCCGGTTCCACGTTTGCCAATCTCCTGTGCTACCTACCGTCGATTTCCAGTGGAGCAGGGTTTTTAGAATCCCACCCCAAAGAGCGTGATTTTTAAAAGAGAAGCGAAAGCCTTTCATCGCCTGTGTACAGGATGGTAGTTGTATAGGCCCTGGGCATTTTCACCCGTGGGGCCTCGTAGGTCAGGGTGAGGAAGGACCTGGCTGGTCCTGCAGGCACATTTAAAGCGGGGCTTCACGTCTCTCTCAGTTCTCTGAAGGTCAATGGTACGTATTTGCTTTCGAGACTGAAAGGGTAGGTTATGGCTCGTTAGCAGACTATGTCGATTATAATCGTATACTAGCTGTTGGCCAGTTTAGTTTTAGAACTGAAAGATTTGCCATCAAGGAAAAGAAGGTAGTATGGTCCCCGAGCAGGATGGGAAATACTTATTTTTTTGAGACCCACACTAAACAAGTTGAAAGATTTGCCATCAAGGAAAAGGTAGTATGGTCCCTGAGCAGGATGAGAAATACTTATTTTTTTGAGACCCACACTAAACAAGCGGGTCATGACAGGAATTCTGGAGCTTGTGGCCCCCTCCCCACCCCCAGAGGTAAGGGAGCAGTAGGCATTAGCTGAATCAGTGCGATTGTCATCAGGACAGGAGATCAGTTCATCTGTGAAGGACACAAGAGTCGGGGACATCTTGATGAGGAACGGGTAGTTCGTGCCTGGCCTGGTGTCTCCAGCTGGGAGGAGCGTAATTCAAGAGGCCACCTCAAAGTTCACCTGGTGGAGGCCTCAGGCAAGACGGGGAGGAGAGAGGAGCAGGGCAGAGAAGTAGAGCATTCGGGCGGGTCTGTGGATTCCCTGGGGACCAGGTACCCTTCTCAGCCTCTCCATCCTCTCGCCAGACCCTGTGGGAAGGTCTTTGATCCCACACCTGGGCAGTGGGAACATGCGATTAGTAAAACATCTGGCGGACTTGAATAGCTGTGGATTGGGATCCAACCACCAATTCTGGAAACGAAGTCGATCTGCTAGCTGGTACTGAGGTTCCTGGGGAATCACGTGGCTTGGTAATGGTCTAAATAAATAGGACCGCAGCCTTACATAGTATAGGAGAAAGACGATGGTACAGCGGGACCGAATTGGGTTTGTTTTTGTCTTGCAGCTGGGTGATGCTGCACAAGTCCTGGATTCTATCTGGACCTTCATTTCCTTAACTGTACAACTGGTTATCACCAACCTCGTGGGCTTACCATGAGGGCTGCCTGGAGGAGCTCAGCTCAGCTCTGGCAGACAGTACTCAATAAACAGTCGTCCTAAGAATTTGTTTTCGTACATTTGCGAATTTTAAAAATAGATTCATAAGGTGCAACCAGCACCACCATCTAATTCAGGAACATTTCATCACTCCGAAAAGAAGCCCTGTCCTAATTAGCAATCACTCCACGTTTCCCCCTCCCCCAGCCCTGGCAACCACCCGTCTGCTTCCTGTCTGTGGATTTGCCTGTTCTAGCCGTTTCACGTAAATGGGATCACACAATGTGTGGCCTTTGGGGTCTGGCTTCTTTCACTTAGCATCGTTTTAGAGGTTTATTCGTGTCGTACCATATACCAATACTTCAGTCCTTTTTTACCGATAAATTATATTTCATCATGTGGATATAGGCACATTTTATCTTTTCCTCATCGATGGACATTTGGGTTGTATCCACTTCTTGTCCATTAGGAACAGTGCTGCTAAGAACATTCGTGTACCAGTTTCTGTGTGGTCGTCTGTTTTCATTCCTCTTGGATGTATATCTAGCAGTGGAATTGCTGGGTCATGTGGTAACTCTGTGTTTAACCTTTTGAGAAACTGCCAGACTGTTCCCAATTTTTCACTCCCTGTAGCAGTGTAAGAGGCTTCCGGTTTCTCCACGTCCTCGCCGATGCTTGTTACACATCCATATTTTTGCATTACAGCCGTTCTAGTGGGTGTGAAATGTCTTTCTAAGAATTTAATAGCTGTGATGCCATTCAGATCATGGATCAAAGATACTTAATACCTTACTGGGTTTTCTAGAATAAGATCCTTAACAATTAACTGGCTTGGCTTTTGCACTTTTAAAATGGCCCAGATAGCTAAGAGGCCTCAGTGGAGTCTCATCGAGTGCAGGGGCCGTGAAATGGATCAGTTCCATCTCTTTCCTCTTGGCCGAGAGAAGAAGAAAGCACTGCCACATGAGGCAGGGGGCTAGAGATTCTTTCTGGCTGGAATCCTTGAGTGCCCACGTCCCCAGCTTTATACCAAATGAAGTCTAGTGAGCATGAGCAATCCACTGGACTGATGGATGCACCATTACTTATGTATGCGCACCGGAGTCCTGCTTATCCAGACTGTGTTTTGATGTTATTTATTTTTTGATGTTTTTAAAGATGAATGTTTATCTTCTCTCACGTTTTATCCCCAGGAAACTTTGAGATGACTTGGCTGGCGGGGACTGCAGAAGCCTTCCAGTCTTAAGTGACATTCTGGAATAGGGCCCGTTTGGTGTCCTCTTTTCCTGAGGGTTTTCGGGGGTTTCGATGGGCTCCTCAAAATTACCTCCAGGTCCTGTCTCAGAGGTCACATGAGGTGCTGTAGAGGACAGCAGATATGAGACGATCAGTGCCGGCCCTGCCATCCTCTCTGGTCCTTTCAAATAAAAGGTGGTGGCTGTCTTCTCATTTGCAAAGCCGACTCCTAGAGCAGGTAGCAGTTCAGTAACAGGATTAGGCTTACAGTACGTATGCAGGTGAGTGATTTTTTTTCTCCTGTGGCTCAGCACACTGTCTCCTTTGAAGCTGTATCTTTTTAGTCTCTTTCTCCTAAGTCCTTAGCCGAAGGCTCTTAACTAGGCCTTGGCTGTGTCCCAAGTCAAAAGACTCAGCACGATGTACTTGGAAAGAGGCAGAGAACCTTTACGGATTTGTAAATTAAGAATAAGTGAGGAAATGTTTTCCTGGTGTGTAAATGGAGTGACAAACGATTGCTATCTCAAACGATTGTTGGATTAAATGAGATTTTACCTGGAATGCCCTGGATGCAATGGCTGCTGCACAGCACTCAAATATTAGCTGTTGTTTTCTCTATCTATCTATCATCTATGTGTCAATCTAGATATAGACATACACATAGATGTAGATATAGAGACATATATAAAGAAAAATATGGGTGTGTGTGTATCTTTAAAATTCTCATTATTACTGAAGAAATTTATTTGTGAAGTTGCTAGTCGGTTGTGAAATCCTTCAGGGGCATGAAACAAATTTTGTTTTAAACAAAAACAATAAATTTTAAGTCAGTGAAAATGACAATCAAAATGTCTAAAAATGATATGTTTACGACATTCAACCTGTTACGTTCTCCCTTTTAAACAAAGCTTGGCTCTCTGATCACTGCCAGGCAATGCCTTAAATGAGCTTTTCCACACCTTGAGGCTGGTACCGACCAGCTGGTGAGTGGTTGATGTGCCACGGTCAGAAGTGCAGACCAGGACCAAAGCAGAAGCTCAGGAGGGTGTTTGTTCGCAGACGAAGCTCCTCTCTGGCTCTGCATGTGACGTTTTTCCAAGCAAATCAAAATGGGTACCGTGACCAAAAGGGATATCACAAGGAAAACTTAAGGAGGCCTGATGCGGTGTTTTCAAGGCTTCCGGTTGCAGATGGTTCGGGGGCCGAAATTGTTCACAGTTTTGGAAACTGTGAAATTAGCCTAAGTTACCCAACAAGGTGGACAGAAGTTGAAGTGAGCTCTGTCCCCTCCATGGGGAAGGCCGTGAGGGGTTCTGGTGAGTCCAGGCACATCTCATCCCTGCCATGCGTACTGCAGAGGTTCAGATGGGAGGAGACAGCTGGAGAGTTTACGTGGTCTGCCAGCTGCCCTTCCGCGTCGTCCTGTGACCTGACTTGATGCCCTTTCTGGAAAAAGGCTGAGTGCATCTTTGCATACACTCACACAGCGGGAGAGGAAACCAGAAACCTGGATTCCTTCCTGACATCGTCTTTATTCCCCATGAGACTAGCCCTTTGGTTGCTTTGTACTGGATTTATATTTAACCAAAATGCAGAAGGTCCTGGTTCATTGCTGGCCATCACCCAGTAGCAGCCAGAGCTATGAACGAAAAAGGCAAAGTCAGAATTTTTAAACCACAAAAAGCGCAGCGATAGGGCTGGGCCTGGGGGTGTGGTCAGTGAGAGAGCTTGTCCTGCATTTGCGTACTTAGATCAGGGATGGACAAACGGCCCGCAGACAGAATCTGGCCCGCTGCCTGCTTTTGTGCCGCCTGCGAGCTGAGAAAGGTTTTGACGTTTTTAAACAGTTGAGAGAAACTCAGAAAGATATATCTTGGGACGTGAAAATTACATAAAACTCAAATTTCCGTGCCCATAAATGTAGTTGTATTGGAACACAGCACGTTCCTTCATTATGCACCGCGTACATGTTATGTATTGTGTACAGGGCTACAGTGGCAGAGTTAAGAAGTTGCGACAGACCACGTGGCTCAAAAAACCCGCACGTGTTTACTCTCTGCTGCCCTTTGCGGAAATGTTTGCCGACCCCTGGTTTAGATAATGATAGACCAGTCGGACGC